AGTGGCAGACAGCCATGGACGCAGAGATAGCTTCCTGGAAGTCCACAGGCACCTACGTCGACGAGGTTCCCCCACCTGGGGCGAACATCGTCAGTGGCATGTGGATTTTCAGGGTGAAGCAGCCGCCGGGTTCTCCGCCTGTCTTCAAGGCGCGTTACGTTGCACGAGGCTTCAGTCAGCGAGAGGGAGTTGACTTCTTCCAGACCTTCTCCCCGACCCCGAAGATGACCACTCTTCGGGTTCTGCTGCACGTCGCCGCTCAGCGTCACTACGAGCTCCACTCTCTTGAATTCAGCACTGCTTTCCTACAGGGCAGCCTACACGAGGAGATCTGGCTGCGCCGCCCACCTGGCTTCACTGGGTCGTTCCCTGCTGGTACCCAGTGGAGCCTACGGCGGCCAGTCTACGGTCTCCGCCAGGCACCCCGTGAGTGGCACGACACACTGAGGACTACTCTTGCTGCTCTTGGGTTTGCTCCTTCTACTGCTGACCCGTCGCTGTTTCTACGCACCGACACCACTCTGCCGCCGTTCTACGTTCTCGTGTACGTAGACGACTTGGTCTTTGCTACTGCTGACACTGAGGCACTCGCCCACGTGAAATCGGAGCTGCAGAAGAGACACACGTGCACAGACCTGGGTGAGCTGACAAGCTATCTTGGCTTGCGGATCACCCGGGACAGAGCACAGCGCACCATCACCTTGACTCAGTCACACATGGTGCAGCAGGTCCTTCAGCGCTTCCGCTTCACGTACTCCTCGCCTCAGCCCACTCCTCTGCCTACTGGTCACTCGCTCTCAGCTCTGCCTTCGGATGAGTCCGTAGAGCCGAGTGGCCCGTATCCAGAGCTTGTGGGCTGCCTCATGTACCTGATGACCTGCACTCGACCTGACCTTGCATACCCTCTTAGCATCCTAGCACGCTATGTCGCTCCTGGCCGTCACCGGAAGGAGCACATGGATGCCGCTAAGAGGGTGTTGCGCTACTTGTGCAGTACGTCGGGCATGGGGCTTGTGCTTGGAGGACGGAGCGACGTTGTCCTCACTGGGCACTCAGACGCTTCTTGGGCTGACGACCAGGCTACGCAGCGGTCGTCTCAGGGTTACACCTTCAGCCTTGGCTCTGGTTCAGTTTCTTGGCGTTCTACACGCTCGTCTTCAGTTCTCAGCTCCAGTTGTGATGCTGAGATCTACGCCACAGCCATGGCTGCACAGGAGTTACGCTGGCTCACCTACCTGCTGTCCGACCTGGGAGAGCGGCCTCGTTCTCCTCCAGTGCTGTACGTCGACAACAAGGCCGCCATTGCCTTGTGTCAGGAGCACAGACTGGAGCACAGAACGAAGCACATCGCTCTGCGCTACTTCCTTGCTCGAGAGCTGCAGCAGCGTGGTCAGCTTCGTCTTGCTTACGTGGCCACTCGGGCCAACACTGCTGATGTGTTCATCAAGGCGCTTCAGCCTTGTGACCATCAGCGTTTCTGTACTGTTCTAGGCCTTGTGCCTACTGTGCCTCACTTGCTTACTTCTTGACTCTGCTTGTACTGTGATCTCTATATACATATATACCTGCATGCTTACACTTGCTAGGTTGTGATCACTGTACCTCTTGTTATATTATCAAACTGCATGTGAACTGGTCTTGTGACCGCTTGCTTGTGCTCGGAATTTGTGTGGTTTCCTTGAGATCCACCCTGAGCTTGCTTTGCTTTGCTTCGACTGGTCTTGTGACCATCTGGTTGTCTCCCACTTAGCCTATGGGGGTGTGTCAAACATTATACATGTTCCTATTGTGTAGGCTATAGTGGGTTTAGCCTTAGGGGGTACAACATTGCTAGGGTTTCCTACTTGTATCACCCTGCTGCCTAGTTTCATCCATTCTCGTTCAGTTCTATATTCTATCATCAGCAAGGCTAGCGTTGCTTATGAATGGGCTGCTGGACTACTAACAAGAGTTGTGAGAGTTGTCTGTCGAGAGAAATTTGGTTGGGTAGGGAGGGGGTAAGGTTTGGGATTCGCAGGTGTGTCGCGACACATCTGGTTACTTGGGGGTCTGGCAAGGGCTGGGATTAGTGCTGTACGGGAGTCGCACTGCATCTGATTGGTTGGGGTGTAGGGAAGGTCTAGGATTAGTCGGCAGGGCGCATCACACTTCCAAATCCAATGTTTGAACATCCAAAACAAAATCAAAGGCTTGCTTCTAACTGGATTACATAAACCACTCATTGTGGGTCTCGATACAATGAATTTCTCGCTGGTGGGTTGCAAAACAAATACATGCAAGTATGATTATACTAGGTTTAAACCGTTACACAACCTGGTACATTTTGCAAACCATAAAAATACTAACATTGCATTATTACGGGACGGGCCTAAGTGCATAAGGCTCCGACTACATCGCCCTAAAGTGCATACTTGAGCCTTTCAATTCAGTATAACACACGTGAACAAGGTAATTAACATTAGCCTGTCTTATGTGCAGTGTGACAAGCAATCAGAACCGATCATAGGAGCACTGTGGCGAGCTTCAGAATAGCCTTTCGAAGCCATCAGGTACAGTCTAGCTTATACAGAGTTGAAATGATTGCATGGCATGATTAACGCTGTTGGTTCTGTTAGTTTGTATAGGAGGTGCCGTTGGTGCCCACGCGCCTTAGTCGTCTCGCCGCTTCAGAGACGAACCGTTCACATCAGCGGCCAACCAACGCATATGATAGGGTCGCGCCTGCAGGTGGATAAATCGCTGGTTCCAAGTACTCTTTTGCTAGCCACGGACAGGAACACAGACACAAGGTTTAGCCTGTTCTGGACGACATTGTCAATCTCGTTATTCTATGGCGCACGAAAACTGTACTTGCATGGTATCTTAACGTCATTGGGTGCTGAGCGTCTGTAGGAGGCTAGTAGCCTCTCGTGCGCCATGGTAAAAAAATACCGCATCAGTTGTGAAGTCGGTATCGTCTCGCCGAACAAACACATGCGTCTCAGGACAGAATGACTAAACTGAGACGACGATTGATCACAGAGGTGCTTCTATTTCTCTGGTGCTCTGGTGCTCTGATTCTCTGGTGCTCTGTGGTTCTTACGTGCGTATATGTTGACGAGGGTGAAGTTGATGAACCTACCTACCGATGGCTTAGCTCATCAAGTTACCTGAAAACGGTGTGAGTGAGATTGTTGAATACACCTGTATAGCAACATGCACGTGCAAGCAGACGCTCGTGACGTGACCAACACACAGTATCTTCCAACAACTTCACCAGTATCTCACCACACACAGTACACCTTGGTAAATGATAATTAGTAAATGATCCCTAACCCATAAATCAAATTAAGTGATTTTCAACTCATGAGTATGTGATACTACAAAAAGGGTGTCATCTCATTGTGGTGCCATTCGCACGACACGCGAACAAGTGACGATGTTCTGAACATCGAATGAGGTGAATCCGTGCGAGTACGGACCAGGACTGCAGATGATGTAGTTTCGACGTTGCGCTGACTTGTTTTGCAAGGTTTCTTCACACCACTGAGTCACTAATGATACCAAAAGGGTGTCAACTCACTGTGGTGCCATTCGCACGACACGCGAACGAGTGACGATGTTCTGAACATCGAATGAGGTGAATCCGTGCAAGTACGGACCAGGACTGCAGATGATGTAGTTTCGACGTTGCGCTGACTTGTTTTGCAAGGTTTCTTCACACCACTGAGTCACAAATGATACCAAAAGGGTGTCAACTCATTGTGGTGCCATTCGCACGACACGCAAACGAGTGACGATGTTCTGAACATCGAATGAGGTGAATCAACATCGAATGAGGTGAATCCGTGCGAGTACGGACCAGGACTGCAGATGATGTAGTTTTGACGTTGCGCTGACTTGTTTTGCAAGGTTTCTTCACACCACTGAGTCACTAATGATACCAAAAGGGTGTCAACTCATTGTGGTGCCATTCGCACGACACGCAAACGAGTGACGATGTTCTGAACATCGAATGAGGTGAATCCGTGCGAGTACGGACCAGGACTGCATATGATGTAGTTTCGACGTTGCGCTGACTTGTTTTGCAAGGTTTCTTCACACCACTGAGTCACTAATGATACCAAAAGGGTGTCAACTCATTGTGGTGCCATTCGCACGACACGCAAACGAGTGACGATGTTCTGAACATCGAATGAGGTGAATCCGTGCGAGTACGGACCAGGACTGCATATGATGTAGTTTCGACGTTGCGCTGACTTGTTTTGCAAGGTTTCTTCACACCACTGAGTCACTACTGATACCAAAAGGGTGTCAACTCATTGTGGTGCCATTCGCACGACACGCAAACGAGTGACGATGTTCTGAACATCGAATGAGGTGAATCCGTGCGAGTACGGACCAGGACTGCAGATGATGTAGTTTCGACGTTGCGCTGACTTGTTTTGCAAGGTTTCTTCACACCACTGAGTCACTAATGATACCAAAAGGGTGTCAACTCATTGTGGTGCCATTCGCACGACACGCAAACGAGTGACGATGTTCTGAACATCGAATGAGGTGAATCCGTGCGAGTACGGACCAGGACTGCAGATGATGTAGTTTTGACGTTGCGTTGACTTGTTTTGCAAGGTTTCTTCACACCACTGAGTCACTAATGATACCAAAAGGGTGTCAACCCGTTTTTGTTCCATTCGCACGACACGCGAACGAGTGACGCTGTTGTGTACGTCAGATGAGGCGAAACTGTAGGAGTTCAGACAGGGTTTGCACATTACGCTGTTTCATCGCTGCGTTCATTTTTTTTTAGGAATGATTATTTGCTCTGGGGTGTCATTAACGATAACTGTTGGGTTTCAACCCAACTTGGTGTCATTGGCAATTTGTAGCCCACCACAAATTCATTTGTTTTGATTGTTTACCATTTATTCATCTACATTCCAGTGGTTTGAAGTCTTTATGTTTTTCTTCTAACCCTCTCAACCGAGATCGAGGATGCGATACAACGATTGTATCGCTGAATGCATCCCAATCTAACAGAAGAGATTCTTGTGATCAACCACAGCGGTTGGATTTGCTGAGGGTGTTGTTATCGAGGGCCAGGAGAGCTTCACGTCAACCCTGAGACAACTCTGGGCGTTCTCCCTTTTCCATCCGCTCGCTCGCCGTTTTCCAACCCTGGCCTTGCTCAGGTTCGGTTGACATCCGTCCCACTGTTGGGGCGGACATCACGTCCGCTACTGCTGGCGCAGGGCGTGCTGCAGGGAGCAATAACTACACTGCTGCACTTGGCGGGCTGGTTGGCCAGGCGGAAGGGCGCACGTCCGCCGATGCTGTCGCAGGGCAGCAGTTCCGCCGTGCTGCAGGGAGCAACAACGACGCTGCTGCACTTGGCGGGCTGGTTGGCCAGGCGGAAGGGCGCACGTCCGCCGATGCTGTCGCAGGGCAGCAGTTCCGCCGTGCTGCAGGGAGCAACAACGATGCTGGTGCTGAAGTGCGGACCTCAAGCATGGAGCTTGAAGAAGCTCGGGCAGCTCATCGTGCACTCCAGCGTGAGAACCAAAGATTGCTGAACGAGAACTCCGACCTTCGGCGCAACCAGTCTATGTCGGCCTCGCCTGGTGACCCGGCCACGAACTCCGCTGAACAGCATGAAGCGTCTCCAAACACAGGTGTTGGCTCCAGGAATGTGCAGTCTGAAAGGCACCCATTGGCACCCATCAACGATCGTCTGCTTGGGAGGGCTGTGGGGAATGCGCACGTTCGTGGTGTGGAGCACGGCGTGCAGCACCTGACAGCGGAGCAGGAGGTGCTCGTGTTTGACCTGGCAGCTGCCATGAGGAGAGTTCCAGAGGTCAACAAAGGTCTTTACGTAAGTTGCCTCATACTTATTGTTGCAGTGCATGGTGTGGACACGTCATCCCCGTGACATCTGTCCACACCATCCTCACCACCTCTGTCCTCGTCGTCCCCACCCTTTCTGCCCTCGTCATTCCCACCTCCCTTGTCCACGTCATCCCCACCACCTCCTTCCACGTCATACCGTCCATCTCTGTCCACCTCATCCCCACCACCTCTGTCCACCTCATCCCCACCCCCTCTGTCCATGTCATCCCCACCACCTTTGCTGCAGGTTGCCATGCTGGATGCCATAACAATTCTGTTCTGGGAGCTGGCAGACGACAAGATGGATTTCTGGCCGTCCCGGAGAGTGCTACTTGGGGCGATTTGCGCCGCTCTCAAGTACAAGACTGCGGAGCAGCGTTGGGACCTTCTCAACGTGTACCTGTACGACCCCGTTCGGCGTCGGTACATCAGGAACAAGCTGCAGGACGAGTGCCACATCATACTTACCAAGGGGCGGTGCGAACTCTACAAGGCGTACGACCTGTACATCCAGCGTCCGGATAAGAATCGACAGCTCATGGGCTCCACTTTGATTGACGCTTGGAAGGTCCAGTACAAGCCTGGTGAGTCCACTTGGTGTCGCTCGCTGGTTTACCCCTCCCTTTGTATTTTTCCTTTCCCCTGAATGCACTCCCCCCTCCCTTGCTCTCCCCACCCTCCCTGGCTTCTCTCCCCCTCAGACCAGGCGGCGCAGTGAGCATTTGGTGTCGCCGCTGGTTTACCCCTCCCTTTGTATTTCTCCTTTCTCCTGAATGCACTCCACCCTCCCCTGCTATCCCCACCCTCCCTGCCTTCTCTCCCCCTCAGACCAGGCGGCGCAGTGAGCAGTTGGTGTCGCCGCTGGTTTACCCCTCCCTTTGTATTTTTCCTTTCTCCTGAATGCACTCCCCCCTCCCTTTCTCTCCCCACCCTCCCTGCCTTCTCTCCCCCTCAGACCAGGCGGCGCAGTGAGCAGTTGGTGTCGCCGCTGGTTTACCCCTCCCTTTGTATTTCTCCTTTCTCCTGAATGCACTCCACCCTCCCCTGCTATCCCCACCCTCCCTGCCTTCTCTCACCCTCAGACCAGGCGGCGCAGTGAGCACTTGGTGTCGCCGCTGGTTTACCCCTCCCTTTGTATTTCTCCTTTCTCCTGAATGCACTCCACCCTCCCCTGCTATCCCCACCCTCCCTGCCTTCTCTCCCCCTCAGACCAGGCGGCGCAGTGAGCAGTTGGTGTTGCCGCTGGTTTGCCCCTCCCTTTGTATTTCTCCTTTCTCCTGAATGCACTCCACCCACCCCTGCTATCCCCACCCTCCCTGCCTTCTCTCCCTCTCAGACCAGGCGGCGCAGTGAGCACTTGGTGTCGCCGCTGGTTTGCCCAACCATTTGTATTTCATTCCCTTTTGAATGCTCCCCACTCCCAACTCCCCTCTGATTTCTCACACCCTGCGTACAGTGGATGTGTCATTCACCCTTCACACGTGGCATTGCAGCGAGCAAGGCGTCCCGTTCTCCAACGCTGTGTTCACCCGTGGAATTGCAGCATCCTTCCGCCGTGAGGGCGAGGATGTGCTAATTCTAAAGCTGAGGCAGATCGCATTTTGGCTATTCGGGGTGAGTCGGTGGGTAATGGTGAGTGGGCTGGTCGGTGGGTAATGGTGAGTAGTTGGCAGGTTAGTCGAGCGAATACCATTCCTCGCTGTTCAACCTATGCTGGCCCTACTGGTTTTTGCGAATATCATGTGCGTCTCTTTTTTCAGGTTGAGCACAAGCTCCTGCACGGCGAAGAGTTGTCACGCAGTAGCACAAGGAACAGGGAGGGAGTGGTCCTGTACCACAATAACGTTCGGCGCTGGATGAGGCATGCGATCAATATGCGCACCAATGCGAGGGGTCCTTGGTGGGACACTACCGTTAATGCGTGGCAGTTTAATGGTGCGACAAATTGCAGTGTATTTATCAGCCATGAGGGCATGGAAAATTAAGTTTGGGTTCCTGTGGGATTGTGGCAATTTTGGAGAGGCTTCAGATAATAATAGCTATATTGTGGTTTTATTGTGCTGATTATTTGTAAAATATAATTATGGATATGTATTATGTAAGAACATAAATTATATGTATTGTATACAGAATAGACCAGGACATTATATCGGATCGTATGAAGCAAAATGTATATTGTAACATGTTACCAATTGCGCGATATTAGTAACAATGCGAAACTGTAACAAGCTATGTTACCACATGCGGTAACCGCATAACCAGCCGTCATTCCCATTTCTACGCTATATCTAAACCCCAAACTCGTGTACCTGTAACTGACTTTGTAGCCTTGTTACCACAATTGAATTCGCCTGAAAGTTTGTCGCAACCAATCAAATTTCAATGAAGCGACCCAATCACGGCGCAAAAATGCCAATCACAAAAATGTGCAGCCCCAATCGAATCCAAGCACGAACGCACGCTGATTGGCTTATTCAGTTCGAAGTTACGAGAGAGTCAGTTTGCTGTAATCGCTTGATAAGCGGCTGAGATTGGGTGTTCAGTTCGAAGTTACAAGGAAGTATGATTTCGGATGTCGCTAGATAAGCGGCTGAGATTGAGCTTGTACATTTCCAAGAAAATTCTCAACAGCCCATCCCAACAAGGGTTACGGAGAGGTATGTGAGCCACAATCTTTGGGGTAGGTATTCGAAATCTTACGAGAGAGCTACCGCAATGTAGCGATCCCATAACTTAGGAAAGTAGGACATTTTGGGATGGAGTTGGGAACTCACAGCCCAAGGTGATGTGGTGGTGGTTCTAACTGTGAAGGGAACGAATAAATGCTGAGAGAAGGCACTCACTAGTTTCTTGCAAACCCGCAGAGGCGGGTTGCGCCTCTGCCAGCGCCGCTGCCAGCGCCTCTGCTAGAGCCGCTGCTAGCGCCTCTGCTAGCGCCGCTGCCAGCGCTCCGCCAGCGCCTCAAAGCGAAGCGGAGTGCCCCCTGGAGAGTGGGCAGCGCGCAGGTGAGATCAACAGCAGCAAGCTCTCAGGTGAGCGATGCTGGACAGCCGCCGCCGACCCATGGGGATGCCGCGTGCCGACGCAGAACATGATACGGGGTGCCAATGTCCCTTGCCCGCAAAAGAAGCACATGTTTCCGGTGTGTTGTCCGGCACGTAGCGACTCTATGTCGCCTGTATGTTCTGAATGGTTCATGCCGGTGGCAGCGTCAGCTGTGAACTGTACAAGGACCCGTTGACTATTCTGGCTTGGGGATGCCGTGCCAGGTCCCATGGGTTTGCCCGTTGATGCATAATATTAGCGTGGCAATATCAACATACGGGTGCTCCTTTGTCCGCGAGCAAGGAACGGGTTCCGGTGCCAAGCGAGTTTCCCGCGGACTACAAAAAAACAAAACAACGGAATGCCTTCGATAGTCAACTTCAAGGGATGCTAACGTACTAAATGCTACCGCCTTAAAACATACGAGTGCCCAAACCCTAAAGGACCCCTTTGCTCGCAAAGGATACATAGAGCAGCAACGTAGACGCCCGTACGTGTTGGTGCGGGAAGGGTCGCATTGTGGGTTGTGTGTCGCGAAGAAGGCTTACGTGTGCGGGAATTTGTTACACGCAACGTTACAGCTACTTGTCCGCCCGTAGTCCGAACCTGTTCGTGACGAACGTAATGAAACAGGTTAACAGAGGGACGAATTAGAGCGTTTGTTTGTAACACACTTCGCGCAAGTCAACAATCGCGAAGTGTGAACCTTCTTTGCGACACACAGCCTGAAAAGGTTCGTTGTACCGGAACATATAGATGCCAAGATTCCAAGCCAACGTCCCTACTCTAGAAGCGCAGCAGAACTTAACTGTGCTACGTTTTCCGACAAAGGAGCACCCCTATTTTGCCACCCATGTTCTATACGTCAGCACCTCCAGTAGGTGTGGGAACCTAGTAGGTGTTAGGGATGGCTCCCGAAGGGCATGCCAACCATAGGGGTTTATTCGCTCTGCCCGCAGGCAGCGCTGGGCGACGTTCGAGTATTTCTGTTTCCTTCAACTCAGGGAGTGGGAGAATCACCTCAACGTTTTGCGGCGAGGTGTTTACCATGATGGTTGATGCCTCTCAAATCCCGAAAGCATCTCGTCCGAACGGGTTTAGGTTTCCGTTGCCCGTGGGCGGCACATCCCTTGCGGCCCCAGCTGGCGCTGGTAACCATATGTTCTGAAAGCTTCGCATGGGTGGCAGCGTTAGGTTCATACGGGTGCGACCGACGTAGCTGATCCGCGTCGGCGCCCCTACTATGGAACCTTGCACCGTACCCTACATCAGAAAATTGTGTGTAAAGTTTTAGGCAGTATTGGGACGTTGAGGCACAAATTTTGGGGTTGAATTGGTTGTTTTCCATGCTCCCCGTAAATGGAGTGTTGTATTGTCCAAAACTGTCCGTTTCCGCGCAGCGTGTAAACTGTTGTTTGCGGCCCTTTTTTTCTGCTACAGTGACCTCGCGCATTAGTACCTAAACTGCCATACTTGGCCCGTTCTTGTTGTGTTGGCGCGTTTGTTTCACAGGCAGGTTACGGGGATGGGAGTTTACAGTTTTCACAGGCAGGTTACGGGGATGGCAGGTTACAGTTTTCCCACCTCCCAGCATTTGGCGAGGATGGGGGGGAAGACGTCAGTGTTTGGTAGTTTCAGGAGTGCGTGTGAGTTGTGTGCGCGCTCGATGCGGCTGGCTCCTCGATTCTCGGAAACATGTAGGGTTACCGTTATCGCTTGAATTAGTTTCAATCAAACGTGTACGATATAAATGAGTCGTGAAAATAATTTGTGACACAAATGAGCACGATTACTACTACGGGTTAGTGTCACCAATAGGCAACAGTATTGGACGTCACATCCGATATTAGCAGTACTGTTATGTTATTCGCTACTATCGTTGCAGCGTTTCATTCAATTGCATAATATTTTATTTATGCGTCAAATTGGTGCTATTATAATCAATAGTATTTACAATCAGGAGCAGTTACATGAAAAGAAACTCAAATCATTCAGGCTGTATGATATCCATATGACAAAGTCGACGAGCTCAGCAACTAGGGCAGACGCAGCAGTGGACTCTAAGGAAGGGTCAGTGACAACAGTAGCAAGGAGACGCGTGACAGTAGGACTGGCAGCACGAAGAGAGTCCGACTCCGCGCTCTTACGCGGAGGCGATAGAGAGTCCCTACTCCTCTCAGTGGCAGGCAGCTATGGACGCAGAGATGGCTTCCTGGAAGTCCACAGGCACCTACGTTGACGCTGTTCCCCCTCCTGGGGCGAACATCGTCAGTGGCATGTGGATTTTCAGGGTGAAGCGGCCGCCGGGTTCTCCGCCTGTCTTCAAGGCGCGTTACGTGGCTCGAGGCTTCAGTCAGCGGCAGGGAGTTGACTACTTTCAGACCTTCTCTCCCACCCCGAAGATGACCACTCTTCGGGTACTGCTGCACGTAGCTGCTCACCGTGACTACGAGCTACACTCTCTTGACTTCAGCACTGCTTTCTTGCAGGGCAGCCTGCACGAGGAGATCTGGCTGCGTCGCCCACCTGGTTTCACTGGGTCTTTTCCTCCTGGCACCCAGTGGAGCCTACGGCGGCCAGTCTACGGTCTCCGCCAGGCACCGCGTGAGTGGCACGACACACTGAGGACTACACTTGCGGCTCTTGGGTTTGCTCCCTCTACTGCCGACCCGTCGCTGTTTCTGCGCACCGACACTTCTTTGCCGCCGTTCTACATCCTCGTGTACATCGACGACTTGGTCTTTGCCACAGCTGACACTGCTGGACTCGCCCACGTGAAGTCCGAGCTGCAGAAGAGACACACGTGCACTGACCTGGGTGAACTGCGCAGCTACCTTGGCTTGCAGATCACTCGGGACAGAGCACGCCGCACCATTACCCTGACTCAGTCACACATGGTGCAGCAGGTCCTTCAGCGCTTCGGCTTCACGTACTCCTCGCCTCAGGCCACTCCTCTGCCTACTCGCCACTCGCTCTCAGCTCTGCCTTCGGATGAGTCCGTAGAGTCGAGTGGCCTGTACCCAGAGCTTGTTGGCTGCCTCATGTACCTGATGACCTGCACACGACCTGACCTTGCATACCCACTTAGCATTCTCGCACGCTATGTTGCTCCTGGGAGACACAGACCGGAGCACATGGCTGCAGCGAAGAGGGTGTTGCGCTACTTGTGCAGTACGTCGGGCATGGGGCTTGTGCTTGGAGGGCAGAGTCCAGTGGTCCTTACTGGGCACGCAGACGCTTCTTGGGCTGACGACCAGGCTACGCAGCGGTCGTCACAGGGTTACACCTTCAGCCTTGGTTCCGGCTCTGTTTCGTGGCGGGCTACTCGCTCGTCTTCTGTTCTCGGCTCCAGTTGTGAGGCTGAGATCTACGCAGGAGCCATGGCTGCACAGGAGCTTCGCTGGCTCACCTACCTGCTGACTGACCTCGGAGAGCCGCCTCGTTCTCCTCCAGTGCTGTACGTAGACAACAAGGCCATGCTGGCCTTGTGTCGGGAGCAGCGACTGGAGCACAGAACGAAGCACATTGCTCTCCGCTACTTTCTTGCTCGTGAGCTGCAGCAGCGTGGTCAGCTGCGTCTTGCGTACGTGGCCTCTGAGGCCAACACTGCT